CCGTCTTTTATCTGCTAATAAGCGCGACTGCTTAATTACCGCTAATCGAAAACGTCGATTGTCGAAGAGAAATCCGTTCCTCGCAGCTAGCGCCAAGAAAACCGGACTTTTAGTCGTAAATACCGTCGGAGAGGTAAATGTCGCTCGGAGATGGGCAGAAATTCTTATCCAGATAGAAGTTCAGATTTTCTTTCTGGAATTTCGAACAACGTCGACCAGAAAAGAGTGAATTGTGTCCAATCTTTCGAGAAATACAAGAATCACCGCTCGCAAATGAAAACGATGACGGAATGACCGATGATTCCGCTGCTCTTTTCGCATAGGGGCGGTACCGGTTCGTGTTCAGGGCAATTTATTGTTAATTTATGCGGGTGATTCTTTAATTGCGCGCGGATGCTTCAGGAAATGAATCTCAAGCGAGGAGCTAGAGAAACGGGATACGCGTTATACAGGGCGAGGCAGCTAAACTGTTACGGAGCGATAATGTCTAAACTATCGCGGCTACAAAACTCGGTAAATACGGTTGCAATATCCATTTCAGTGTATTCTCTCTGGAGTTATGGAATCTCTATGGAATTATACGCGCACCTTATGACAAATTATAGTTCCGAGGAGATCCCGACAGACTCGTGCTCGTACAGACACAGACTAACGTGTAAGTACTAGAAAAATTCGTTCAAGTATCGACTTCCTAGTCGCGGACATAATTTCACCGTGCAATATGTGGAATTCATATTAAACCCGATGACCCCGCACTACGTACGCGCCGCAACGAATCCGCTCGATATAAGAACGCAGCTGCGTCCACAGGAAAAGCGTTATTAATCGGAAGAGGAAAAATTCGCCGTTTCCGCGATATCGAACTCCGAAAAGAGAACATACACGTTCGATCGGGAGGAATAATCGAGCATAACCGCGTAATCTCGCGATTACACGTTATTTTATTCCCCTCCCCTCATCCTGGCCCCGCGATGCTCGTCGACGCGTCAACGACGTCGAGGAAGGAACGGTTGCACCGAGTGGCGGATGTCGTAAAATTACGGAGGCCGGTGGCGTTAAAATCGAGAGATTCCGAACTCCGCCGGCTACACTGTTGGAAATTATACATCGTCACGCGAACCGCTAGTCTCTGCTAAGACGCTAACGCGGCTGTTTCTAGAGCGGATTTAACGGGCCATGTAGGACCCGGGGTGAACAAAAAGTGAATGGTAATACGCGACGAAGGATGTTATAATGGAACCCGACGACCAACACGCCCGTCTCGTGGTCCACTTTTTGCAACGTCGTATGAGCTCTCGATCTGTTTCGAGTTCCCTCCGCGGTCCCTCGGTCGCGAGCTTCGTTTCGAGACGCTCGCGACGGATCGTTGCGAGTTCTTTGCGAATTTTCCAGCAGCGCGAGATTCAATTCGCCTGGTATCTCCGTCGCTTTCTCATCTGCTAACTTGGAACTCGATGCCGAGTCTCGTTTTTGACGACGTTTTTTACGCCTTGCTCCATCTACTACTACCTTTCGCGACGTTTCGCGATGTCCCGATATTATCAAATTCCGCATTCATGGACGCGCGAGTGTACGTTAGAAACGGCTTGTCGGAGAATTGTGGATCGCGTTAGCCGTTAAAATTAAGTTGGTAGAGAGTGTGCTCGCTATTCGTTAGATGGGATTTGCGAATATTATTATTATCTGGAGACGATCGCGTCCGAAAACGAGAGAGAGGAGAAAAGGCGAGGATCGCGGGTAGTCGATCGTAGGTAAAAATGAGCGTATCCCGGTGATTAGCCGGCGCTAGGCGTTAACGTTGCTCCGGAGCAGGTTTGGCGGGGCCGGTGCGAGCGAGAGAGGGTGAACGCGAGCGTGTGCAAGCGCGCGCGAGTACATAGCAGCGGGTACGGGCGAGCCGAGCGAGCGATCGTGGAACGGAGAAAGAGTAAGCGGTCCCGGCAAACAAGAAGCGAGCCGCAATGCATTCGCTCTACTCGCTAGATATAAATACGCGACAGAGGGCAAGGAACCAACCACGCCTGCACCGACAGCTACTGCCTAACGACACGGACACGCACACGCGGTCGCTCATTGTGATAAAGCAGAAGAAGGAGCAGAGAGAAAGAGAGAAATGAGCGGACGAGTGAAAGGAGGACGAGGGAAGAGGGAAAGAAGACGAAGAGTCGGCGGAGGGGTGGCGCGGAGGGACGATGAGGGACTGCGGAGGGGGAGGAGGAGAGGAGGAGAGGAGGAGAGGAGAGAGGTTGACAGAGAGGGAAGCGAAAGAGAGGTGTAGGCTGGCTCTCCGAGGCTGCTGCGTTCGTTCATGCGCCCATCCGCGCGTTGGAAGTTGGGACGAATGTGGCCGGTCGAGTCTCTAGAAGACGCAGCCAAATATTGCATCCTCGGATAAATATAGGCGGCCACGGCTGCACCAGCCCGCGCTGCTAACGCGCACTTTTCTCCGCTGCTCGTCTTTGGGACGGCGCGCAGCCATCTAGCCACCGACGGCATTCCTCCTGCGGCCTCTCCGTCGCTCTCTATCTGCTTCTCGCTCTATCTTCCTCTCTCTCTCTCTCTCATTCTCTCTTTCCATGTGCGAGAGCGATCGTTAAATTCGTTTCGTGGCCGAGAACTTCGGCCGGCACGTTGCCCCGGTGCTTTCCATTCTTCTTCTTGCTCGTTTTCTTCTTGCTTCTAGCTTCGCGCTCTTTCGTTCTTTTACACCGAAATATCTGTACGTAATGGGAATCGGTCGGGCATGGGACGCTCGCTCACCGTACTGGGTTCACGCGCATTTCACAGAAAACGAGCCCTTCCTCGCGAACTTGCACGCCGACTGAAATATAGGGAACTCGAAAGTTTTGTACTTTTAATCTACTATCTATGCAGTTAAAAGAAGAAGGAACAAGATAATTCTCTGCTGCAAATAATTACCCGCAAATTTAGAGTAAAAGCATCGAGGACTTTCGAAAATGCACGCTCTCACAAGTAATAAAAATTCTATAGAACGAACGAGATCGACTCTCGTCGGACTCGTCTGCTACCCCAGTACGATCGGAAGCTTATAAAGCTGGGAAGATGCGTTCGGATCGCGCTGTGTTATCGTGTCGGCGATAACTCGCAATCGGGTTGGTACAACGATGCATTGTCGAGTACAGGGAACGTTACGATACACAGATTTCTCCCGATATTCGATTAATGGATTATACACCGGAAGACGATTTTACTCCGATTCGGAGAAACGTGTAAAACGATACGGAAGGATCGTTGAAGTAGCGGAAGGGGTGAAAGAGCAACACTTAGGAGTATCATGGGGGATGCGGAATTTAGAACGACACAGGTTTCGTAGAGCAAACACGCGTGTTTACAGGCAGGAGAAATGATGTATAGATTAGGTCGTGTGTATTCCACGTTGTCGCGAAAACTCGTGAAATTTTCCCGGAAAAGGAAGCGAATCGGTTAGTGTCGGATTACAGATAGCGAACCGACACCGTTCAAACAGGGTTTCGATTGGAACGCGCGGGCAGGATAACGTCATTCTTTGTGCTCGAGCACACAGTCGAATCGAGCAAAGCGCAGCAGCCGCTTTGTTTTCGCAGCAGGCGTAACCTTCGAGCTGGCGGGCGGCCGGCCGCGAGCCGAGCAGAGCGAGCGTGTCGAGCTGAGATGCACGTGGCCACAGGCATAGTCAGTGAAAATCATCGTGCGCGGACATTGGGTGGCGGGAAACGTGCGTGACACGGGTGTACGGAGGGAGGCTCTAATCAACCTAGCGCGTGAACCTAACCTAACGCAGCGTCGGGGAAGGCGGCGTGTCGTCGTCCCGCGGCGGAGGCGGCGGCGGCGGCAGGGACGGGGACGGAGGAGGCGGCGGGGACAGCCGGCGGGAGAGAAGAGACGGTTATCGCGGAAGTTCGGCAATTATAGGTGCCGAGTCGCTTTTTTTTCGACGACTGATATTGATTTGGGAGAGGTAGTTCGTATTCGTGGCACGAGCATACCTTGTGACTCGCAGAGGCGGCCGGCAGCGCGATGCATCACGGCGCAGCGCGCATCGAGGGGTACATCGGCCGGGGAGTACTGAGACGGGGGAGGGGCGAGAGGTGTCAGGGGGAGGAAAGGCGACTAGAAGATCCCCCACCACGTTCGTACCTCTCCGCCGAAACTACCCCCACCGTGGGACTCGATGTCCCCTTCTCGACACGGTATCGAATCCCTTCCACATCCATCCAACGGACATAACTTCCTCGCTCCGACTCCTCTCGGTCCTCTCCCTTCTTCAACCTCCGCGCTTATTCTCCCACTCTGTCTCCCGCACGCGGTGTATCCTCTCCTCCGTGTCTCGTTCTCCTCCGACGCGGTCACCGCCGCCACCACCCTTGGTCCTGTCCGCCAGGGGCGGAAGTTTCGCCGCCCGCGGATCCGCGCGCCGATTTTTTCAACGATCGCGATGAAAAATTGACTCGCACTCGAGACAAACAAAAAGAACATTCGTCTATCGCGTTTTCCTTTAGACGACTTTTTTTCGAATGTTCCGAAGAGAGCGTTGATAGCATCCTTCCTGCGAGATCGACGCGCGAAAAGTAGCAATTTTCGAAAATTGCAAGGGACGATCACCCTCTAGCTCTCCTCGAGCGAAACCCGCCGGACCGTCGGGACCAGGATCCTGTAATTGACTCGCGAACAAAGTATAAATCCGGTACCATCCAATTAACGACGAGATCAAGAACTCGTTGACCGGCAATCGTCTGCATGCGAACACATCCGTTCAAAATTTTGTCTGTCACGCTACCTCAATTTAACTGGTACCAGCGTCCCGCAGAGTGGTCGGGGCCACACGATAGAGATGCTCACTTCTACAAAATTTACTCCAAAAATCGTTTTACCCATTACCAACCATGTCTCTACATCCTTTGAAATCTTTAAGCTAAATCCGTATGGTAGATACCGAAATGAGGGAAGATGCCAAATTTCAAGGATCTTTTGGTAAATCACTGTCAACGAAATCAGTCATAAAATGATCAATTTTTGTGAAAATCGATTCGTAGTCAAACACGTTATTATTATTCCCAACGATTCGTCGTATATCTGAATCTAATCCGACCGACCGATTCGATGGAGGACTGGTCTTGAAGTAGTTTTAGTGTTAAAGTTTAAGTGCAGTAATTGTAGATCAAGAGTCGACATGTTAATGATATTTTACACACTCGTGGGGCTTTTTAATCGATGATAAATTAATTCAAAGGAGAGTGTCGACGTAAAATGAAGTGCTAGGAGGGTCTCCCGCCTCGATCACGGTACGAGAGAACGAACGTGTGCAATAGCGCGACGTAGGAGCCCCCGGAGTCGCGTGAATCCGCCCCTGCCACCATCACCACTCGCCCGACGCCGGCACCTTCTCCGCTCGTCCTCTCCCGACGACGGTGTCTACCATCCCAAACCCAACCCGAACCAGTCCAGAAATCCCCACTCCGCGGCCGCGCACCGCGGCGACGGAAGTGTGGCAACGCTGCAGCTCGCCAGTGTCTCGGTCTTGGCGAGTTACTCGGGGGGGCTCAGGCCGAGTCTACCGAGTTTGTGTCTACCGGCGCGGGTAACCCGAAAGCGAGTGTGCCGAGGATTAAAGTCGCGGGCCTCTTGCCGGCACGCGAGACCGTCTCGCTGCTCGAAGGCCATAAACGGATTGAACGTAAATATCGAGAAGGGAGGACACCGGCGGTACGGCGGAGAGGAGAAGTTTTCCAAAAGTTTTTCACGGCCGCGCGGAACCAGAACGATCACAGGAGGGATCGCGACGTTTAAAGAGAAGAATTTAAAAAAAAATCGCACGCACACGCGAAAGAAAAAAGGAAAAAAAAACAAGCCAACGATCGGGACACGTTTCGCGCGTTTGTCGTTCATCCGCGTCATCTTTGCCCGCCGCCCGTGATAACGCGAACGTGCGTCGCGTCGAATTCTACATGCGTTGTATACATAACCACCCGCGTACATATACAAGCATATATATATAAAGATACGATACGAAGATACGTAATATACGTATCATCTATAGTATAAAATAATAAATACACGGTGATCCACGCGCGACCAAAAACAGTGTAAATGGCGCTCTCCGCACAGAACCAGTCGACGTCGTACGTGAACTTGTATTACTCGATCGTCCAGCGTGCGGCGACACGCTACTTTAAGGAATATTACAACTCCGGTGAGTACCCGCCGTGAGTCATTCATGGGACTGCGCGCTGTTGACGTTTGATCCGTTGATCGTCGTTTACTTGTTCGTTGTTCCTTCCGATTCGTCATCGATTCAAATCGAAATCGCGCACGCAGCCGCTTGGCCACCTGTGCGTCGTCCACGTTTTGCCAAAACGACGACGTCGTCGCAAGCGCGCGCTGTGTGTACGCGCGGTTTCGAATTTTCCCGCCCTCCCTCCTTCCAGGCTGTGGGTCTCTCTTACACGCACACACGTCCTCGTCCCGTATCTCTCTCCCTCCTGATGCACCACCTCCTTCGCAATGTACACACGCGTGCATACACATAGAACGTGCAGAGTACATACGTGAAACGGGCAGACAGTTGAGCCGGCACCCACTAGCAGAAGTGCTCTTCCGACACCGATTAAAACACGCCGCTGGCTAGACACGTGCCCGGTTCTAAACTCGTGTGCGCTCCACGCACGCTACCGCGAACCACGCCGAGCGTCAGCCGTCGTGAAAACAGTGCTCAAGCTCGTGGCTGTGTGTCGCGCTGAACGCGTCCGATTCTTCTCGTCCGATCGCTACCAAAGTTGCGCTGGACAAGGTCAAGAGCTTGGACGGATGATCGTCGATGCGTCGCGTTGTCAAAAAAGTTGTCTCCGTTGAGGGTGTCCGATATCCTTATCTTGATTCCAATTTTGCATAACGAATGATAGATAACCGTCTTCCCGTTACGCGGTTTGATCAAAATTCAAATTCGAGTTATAACGCGACCAAAACTGCAAATACTCGGTAACGTACGAATGGATAAAACGATGGTAGATCAAAGCCACTGGTTTATTCGTAGAACGGAGTATGTTTAAAAGTAATAGCGTGAACAAACTCTCTTGGGGTGCTCTCTCGAGATAACAATAACTTTCTATATTTCGATTCCTCATTTCTCATCCGTGGACAGCTGAGAACTTGATCGCGCGGTTCAAGTTCTTCGAGAGGACCGTATGGTAGAACAGAAGGCGGTCAATGCGAAGAGACACAACAACAGAATGCTTAGTTAGGAGAGTGGGACGGGAGTGTTCGGGGGTCCATGAATCGTGAAAGATAAAGAAAGGAACGACAAGGGGAACCCGTGGAGAATCTCGGTATCCGTCGTCCGTTGCGATCGTCTGCTCGAGCGATTTGCAAAACGCGCGAGAGGAAAAAGTGAGAGAAGGGAGAGATAGACAGCGAACGAGAGAAGAGAGGAGTGGGAGGTAGATAGAAACGGAAGGAAAGAGAGAACCAATGGACGAACGAGAGTGCGAGCAGGACGGTATGCTGATCCGCAAAATACGGTCTCGTTACTATCGTCGGCGTTGGGTCATCTAATCGTCTCTGAAATTATCGTCTCGCCAGTGCAGAGTGACGAAACGCTCTCTCCGGGAGAAATAAGTTTTTCGTGAGTAGCGAAGTGTGCTGTACCTTTCCACGTTTGTACCTCACGTTTTAATACGTTTCGACGATATATAGAGGCACGAACCAATAGTATCGCTACTTTGCACATTGATAATAATGTAAACGAGCTACTATTTCCTTCACGACAAGGTTTAGCAATTCGTTGCTACAAAACCAAACATTCTAATCGAACTCTTTTTGTACTCCAACTCCGGAGATACAAGAATTGATTTCTATTAGGTACGTCGAGTTATTGCGTGTAGTTGTTACATTTCTAATCTAACTACCGGATCAATTGTATCTCGTTGTAGCTATTATGATCGTATGAACAAAAAAGAATAAGGAAAAATTGAATATCGTCGCGAGGTGCAGCACTCTTCATCTACGCTCTGGTGTTTGTGCGACGATTTCACTCGCGATTCTTTCGGATACCGATCGTTCCGATCGAGTTAACGCGTCGCAGCCAGCCGCGTGCGTGCACGCTCGTGTCCGCCGGCGTCGATTCGCGACCACACAGGTCTGGTCAAGGTGAACATTCGCTGATGGAGGAGAACTTGCGACGATCGTGCCGCTCGTGACCGAGAGAACGGGCCCTCGCGTGAGATCGACTGTGCCAACGATGATCGGCGATCGAGAATACCAGCTGGGGATGAGCAGAATTATAGCTAATAAATTTTCCTTGTTGTTTTTCTAACAGATTACAAGTGTATTTGATAATTATAGAAATCGTACGAGTATAATACTAAACAGAATTTAAACTTCGTTGGCTCCTTTCTCGTTCGAAATTTGTACGTAGATGAAAATTTTGCTCATCTTTCATACGAGCTGCCGATCGAGAACGTTGGATCGCGTGAGAATCCGCTCCGTATTAGCTACCGTAGACGTGAACAACGAGATCAGTGACCAGTTGCGTACACGATACTTTTTTGCAGGCAAATAGTGTTATCCAAGACTGTCGAACAAACGAATCGCGATCAGAAGAGTCTGCTCGAGTGTTGATTACCAACGATTGTCGCTTAAACATCCGGTCGCGTTCGCATATCCTCGAGGCTCGCGTGTTCCGTCTTAACCCTTCGTACATTTTTTAAATACGAGCAACTAGCGATGTCGAAACAATTTTAACGGTGGGAAATTGAATTTTCTTCAATGATAATTTTAACGAAGACTTTATACGATGTACTCGAGAGGGTACACGTTGAAATTCAAACTTTCCGCGCAACATGGTTTCCAATTTAAAACTTCCCAAAATTCGGCCTATTTTTAGAGAGTCAGGATAGTTTACGTCTTAATGCTCGCTTTGTTCTGCGGCGCGACCGGTGGTTTCAAGAGTGCGAAACCACCGGCGTTGAAACGTTGTTTTCGCGCGTGATAGTTTGCCAACCGGGAGCAACAACTTTGCTACCGACGACGGGACATCAACGTCCGTCGAGCCTCGAGGAACGATGCGCACCTGATGCAGAGATCTATCCGCAGAGACGGGAATAAAACGGCGCGGGCGCACATTGATTCTCTTGTTTCCGTTCTATGAAGCGTCGAATTGTAATCTAGTTTGAAACAAAAAAAAAAAAAAAAAAAAGAATGAGAGAGGGAGGAGGGTGGCCTATCGAGCGGCAAGAGCGAACGTTATCTCTGCTGTAGGTTTATCGCGATATTTCTCTTCGGCATCGTCATCGAAACAGGATCATTTTCGCTGGTTGACATGACGAGGATATCGGCTGGTGATCCCGGGATCGTTATTGGACAGTATAAAGTCAATCGCGCCGAATAAAACGATTGGTTTTCGTTTAGCCCCGCTGAACCGGCTTTCCAACTTGGACCCACCAGAGCTACACATGATCGGTCTGTGGAACTTTGCTTATTTCAGAGGTACTTATCACGCTAAACTTTTCGATCGATATCGTACGACGATCGTTCCTCGTTTTCTCGACGAATGGACGCGCGATAGTTGGCAACACTTTTGCAGCTCCTAAACGAGACTTTACACGATATGTTATGACATCAGAAATACGTTTAGGAGACCCTGTCCCTTTGGATACTTGCTCTGCTTCTTCATTTTTGCCTGAGTTTATTAGGTCATCTCATAAGTTCGTATCGCAGATGGGGAAAGATTGTAAAAAGACAGGGTGATTACGTTCTTTTCAAAACATTTAAATTGCCGTTGTGAGCGGTAGTGGTTACACGTATAATTAAATTTAATAATATTTTAATACCGTCTCAGTAATAGACGACAAAGTATTAGCGTCGATTCGAACAGTAACACCAATATAATTTCCCTTCTCGCGTTTCTCGTCTACTTTCCTGCTGTTTCGCGATAGTTTGCAAGGAAAACATGAAATTTGGCGCAGGTGCGTTCGGTAGCCGCGTATCGAAATCGAGAAAATTCGATCCGCTACAAACTAATCCCGCGGTAAGTTCAACGACAAAACGCTGGCAGCTTTTTTCATTGAATAACTCGCGGCGACGCGAGCTTATATTTGGAGAATAAACGACGACGGGTTTATCGTGTGACTTCTGACGATAAGAGCGCGAGCGTTGCTCCGTATCAACGGGAACGTTACGAATCGACGCGGGAGAACAGGCCTGTGTTTGCGCGCGGAAAATCTGCGATCGCTCGATGAGGAGACCGATTCAGAGTTTCTCGCGGGATTCTGTTGTTCACGGGCGTCGTGGATCCCGGCGAGAACGGCTCGCTAGGCTACTGCAAGCCGAACGGAATAAATCGTTGATTTATCTTCGTTCGTACGGTGCCAAGACTCTATCCGCTTCCACGATCTCGCTTAACCTCGCCCGGATTGAAAGTCGATGCGCGCCGCGACGACTGCTGCTCTTGTATTTTTTTTTTTTTTTTTTTTTTTATTTCCCCCTTTTAACGACTTTGTTCGTCATATTCAACAATGAAAACGGAACGCGAGTTCGGGAAACGTTTCATTACGTGGTGTAGCGAGGCGAGAGGACGGAGTTCAGCGGACAAGACTGTCGCGGGGATGACTGGAGTCAATTGGAACTTTTTTGATAAAATGCCGTGACTTCATTTTATACCCTATCCGTTTGGTAACGGGCATCAATTACAGCCAGACCATCAAAGTTCTCTTAAACGCACCGGGGGTTCCTGGTGTCAGACGTAGACCGCGAATGTTTATGCAGTCGTAGCAAATGAAAATGAAATATCAACGATAATATACATGTTACACCGTTTGGAACGTAAAACATACTTTCGTTTAAGTTTCGATTATTTTTCTGCCATAACTCGGGTCGGGACAGCATCGAAAATAAATAATTGCAGTAGCGTCAGCCACCGTGAATAAGGCTTGCTCATCTTCGGTTCGAAGTAGTCCAAAGACGCGATCGATGGCGAACCGAGGGTCTGGCTCATCGTAGAGCGTCGGTGGACGGGCACAAGTATTAAAAAACAAAGCGTCTACGGGGTCGGAATAATAAAAGATGGGACAAAGCCGAAAAAAAGAATAAAATAAAACTCGCGCGACGGTTTCGGGCTTCGCTGAATGCGTACTACACGGGGCTAGCACCGTTAACAGCGGCGCCCCGTCTCGTTTCTGTCTATTTTTCTGAAAACAA